ACAGACAGACAGACAGACAGACAGACAGACAGACAGACAGACAGACAGACAGACAAAAACATATAAAACAGTCTACAGTGACAGGCAAATCATTCACAATCAAAATTATGTCAACAACGCAAGGGTAAAAGAACGGGAAAAGAAAAATCATCTAGACAGCCGTCCCATCTTGGGGAAACCCACTCAGCAGACCGCTGTCCGGGGCCGGGTCCCAGATCACCTTTTGCACCTGTCGGAACTTCGGATGAGCGGCGTCTTTGAGCAGTCCCAGCAAGATGCTCTCACTCGTGGTCAGGTGTGCCCCGACTTCTCGCATCCTCTGCAAAGCGTACATGCTGGGGGAAGTGAGAAAATGTTGGGATTATTTATTATGAAATGCTGGCGTGTAGTTGTCTAAACCGTCTTTCATAGCATTGTTTGAATAAAGAAAAGTACATCAATACAATAATGGTCTCTATGTGTAGGGAAGTAGTTGGCTCAACATACAGAAACAACAGAGGGAAAGAAAAGAAAAAAGGAACTATCAGTAGCACACTTTAATCATCTGCATTCATGGCAAGATACCGTAACAACTTCATTTCACTTGGAACAATTTATGTCAGTAGAAACACTGAAAAAAAGAAGGAGCAAACTATACCTGATAGCCCGTCAACTACTACTACTAGTGCCTTTGTACACATTATTCATACTTGAATAATTAATAGTAAGTATTTTGTGCCCCCGTCAACAAATTTACATCATTTAGGTAATAGTAATAATAATAATAAATAGCATTTCTATAGCGCATATCCTCGCTCGACAGCAAGCTCTATGCACTTTACACTATATCGTTACTTCAGCTGAGCATAGAACACTCAGAAACATTCTCAGCTTCCTGCGAAGCATAGGGTGCAAGCAGCTGATTAAGCGCTCAAACACCAACAAACTGACAAGATCTTTCACTGTTTATAGCTGGGTACCCATTTCCACCTAGGTGAAGTGAGAAAAATTCGTGTAAAATGCCTTTCCCAAGAACACAATGTCGGGCCCCTGATGGGATTTGAACCCATGACCTTACGGTCTAACCACTAGGCCACTGACTCCACAGACTGCTTTGACCAATCTCTTCAGGGCCAGCCCAGGCAAAGAGGCACACAACATTCTAGGAGAGATATGCAGAGTGAGAGATACTCTATAAAAGCATCCTCACATTGGAATTGAACTCGTATGTTCTATGTGTACTGGTGAAAAGCCTAACTGCTACACCACAGGCTCTTGAAATAAAATGACTATCACTTAAAAGTATAAAACACTGAAAGTGGGTCCCTAACATTCCTAGTGTGAATGGCCTATTAAATCTGCCGTAATTTGAGATGCTATTTCCATTCGTTTATCCCTTGTTTATGTCACCAAACATTTCAGCTTCTTCACAAATGAGCTCTACTTCCTATCGACTATTTACATCCTACTTTCTGAAAATGTATAGGTTTATGGCTTTTACTTTTACTTGCTTAGTCTGCCTGTTCTCAAGCATTTGCCATCATCCTATGGTGAAATCTGAAATTTGACTTCTATATATAGCTAAGAACTTTACAGGCAAAACCTTTAAGGGTGCAAGCACCACATAAAAGGCATTACAACCACACATTCATCCCAGAAATGTAGAGTACAATAGTGTGAGATGACTGAAGAGAGCATTCATTTGTATTTTTTGCTAATATTCGGAAATTGATCAACACAAAGTTTAGTCCCCCCCCCCCCCCCCACTCCCCCCCCTCTAGACACATCATCAGATACATTTGAACATCAGAACTGAGCAGGACGGCCCAATTTATGACAGATACCAGACTTCAAGTGTGATGCGATCGAGAAGAAGAAGAAGATTTGAACATCACAACCGCCTCAGCCCTCTGTTTTCGGTTCTTCTAAGATATAACTGTGACACCCCCCCCCACCCCCCCCACCCCCCATATGGAGACCCCAGTAGTTGTGAACTAGGTCATGTAGTTTGAAATGGGGTCTGTACTTTACTTTTACCCATCAATATTTACCGATCGACAAGACTGCGACTTGAGCAGGCGTCAACGACTACATGGACGTCGTAGTCTTTCTCCACAAGGTCAAACACGGTCTGCTGTACACAAGCATGGGCTTCAATGCCGCATAAAACAATGGACTTGACATCTGAGGGAATGAAAATAGGCTTAAATATTTATATATATTTTTATAATAGTAGAGGGTTTTACGGCGCTCGTTACTGCATAAGGTCATATGAGCGCCAAGGGGTGGGTGTCAACAGAGAAGTCTTTACAGGGAATCAGACTTTGACTGCTCACCTCTCTAGCTTCAACAGCACAAGGTCTGCTTCGACTATCAAGGCACCCCAAAATAGCATGTCACAAGGGAGTGACAAACATACAAAAGAAGTAAGGGAAATGACAATAGTAAGGATCAAGAAAGAAAAAGCAGCAGTTCCCTGTTGTAGATCAGGCATAGTTATGAGCATGACATGAGTCAGCCCATTTACAATTCTACTATACTTGAATGAGAAAAGCCCCCCCTTTGGGAATGGCCTAAAGACACTTCAGTCAGTGGCACTGCCCCGGGGGGGTCTTAAATATTTGAGGGGGTGAGATGCAATATCCATTAAGCAACATTTTGGAAAACATTAAGAAAACATAACATCACAACTGAAAGAGCTGCGGAGCTGGCCTACCATAGAAAACTGCATCTCCCCATGATGCTTAACGGCAACAGAAGATGAAAAAGAAAAAGTAAGTACATGTAGATGCAATATCCATTAAGCAACATTTTGGAAAAAATCGAGATCTTTTGCTTATAAATGCACATTTTTACCGGCTATCAGATGCACAAAGTGTTTTCGGCCAAAACCCAACACATGCTTCATAAAAGCCACCAAAAAATCTTTCTTTTTCCGCATGTTCGTGCATATGTGGCGTCGGTGGCCTAGTGGTTAGGCTCTCGGACTCACAACCGTAAGGTCGTGGGTTCGAATCCCGTCAGGGGCCCGACGTTGTGTCCTTGGGAAAGGCACTTTACACGAATTTTCCTCACTTCACCCAGGTGGGAATGGGTACCCGGCTATAGACAGCGAAAGATCTTGTCAGTTTGTTAGTGTTTGAGCGCTTAATCGGCTGCTCGCACTGTATGCTTCCCGGGAAGCTGAGAATGTTTCGGAGTGTTCTATGGTCTGCTGGGGTAATAATATAGTGTAAAGCGCATAGAGCCTGCTGTTGAGCGGGGATATGCGCTATACAAATGCTATCTATTATTATTATTATTATTATTATTATATATCAGCATTAAAAAAAGCTGACTTTCTTCAAAGAGCTTAATTGGATGTAGCCGGTTTTGCATTTCAGCCCCTCATTTCCTACAGGAGGCGCTACAGTTGTTTTATCAGCGCTGAACATTATTGACAGCACATAATATTTACTTCATTCTTTTTTTAAATAGTAGGGAAAAGGTGGTAGTTTTTAAAAATAATGTTAACTCAGTTTTGAAATTTTCTTCATATGACTGATATTGACCAGCAGGGACACAATATACTGACGTTAGCAAACACCCTCAAAACATTTCAACTGCTCAGGCTAAGACTTCGTCATACATCAGTTTTCAAAATGGCATTTAGCGGAGTCTTACACTAGGCCATTGGTTTGAAGATCTGAGCGGGGGAGAAACAGCATCAGGTTTAAGAAAAATATTGAGGACTCCTGGCTTTCTTTTACAAGTTTTAAAGGATGACTGCACTCTTTGATAAAAATAGTGTTGACAACAAAACAGAGCAAGCCCAACAATAGATCAAAACAAAGAAAAATTTTGAAAATTGCGATTAATGTCATTTCACCTATATACCGTACTCTTCATTTGTGAAGCTTTTATAACATTGTCAAATTCCACATACAAACTAAAATGAGAAGCTGATCTTGTTTAAAAAACAACCTAACCATACAACTGAAGAATTATCATCACACATGAATAATATTGTCACCAACATGGGCAAACTGCCTATCTTTTTCTGTAATTTTATTTTTCAGAAAAGATTTTTTTTTTTAAATTACCGTTTTTGGATACTCATGAGACAGGCAAATAGACTAGGCACTAATCTAACTCTTTCATCAAAGCATGTGAAATTGTTTAAAAATTAAAATTCAAAACACGTACACATATATATGACTAGGACTGGGAAAATGAGTAAATATACCTTCTCTGGCATGGCATTTTATGAACAACTTTTCATGAAAAGATAGCACATAATGTGGTTCTTTACCTTGCTCAAATAACACCAACAGTAAGCAAAATTTACACCTTGAAAGAGATAGATAGCTATTTTCCCCTATAATCAGCTCTACTCATTGACAAGAGATGATAATATTTGTGCTATGTTGGTCTAAATTTTAAGACCTGAGATGACGTAGCTCGAGGCTAATTAGGTTGATGCGACCAGAAAATGCCAGTTGCGGTGAGTGTAAGGAGTTGATCGATGCTCTCCCTCTACTGCCTCATCTTGTGTGACTCTACAGGTATTGATGAGTACATTTGTACCAATACTTACCACTACATTTTTCCAGCTCTGCTTGGACGTCTGGGACTATCATGGAGAAACAAGTTTTGGGGAAGACTTTGTGTTGACTTACGTCCAGCTCAGACACAGTTGGGCCCAGGCCTGTAAGAAAAGTGAAGCAAAAGATAAGTATAACCTCTCCTACACCTTCACCTAGAGATTTGCTGTTTAGAGGTATTGCTTCGATGTTCAAACAGATTAATCGATTCTGTTTTCTTTATCGGAAATTTTAATCAAATGGCATGCAACAGTATACGTACTGCAAAATATAATTCAAACATGTGGTTCTCATTTGAGTATGATAGTTTGAAAAGAGCCGAAAGATTACCTTTGCTCTGCTGCTGCTTGGAATACTATCGTGAATTATAAATATAGTGAAGTCCGCTTAATCCAAAATCAGAGGGAGTGCCAGATTTTCTTCCGTTTAGCCTTGTTTTGGGGTTAGAAAAGGTTGCTGAAATTATGATGAACGTCAATGGTGCAGAGTTGGAATGCCATATAATATGCTTGCGGCCAATTTCATGTTTTGAAAGTATTTTTTTCTTATTTCTTTTAGTACAAGCTGTAACAAAAATTTGAGTTGCATTGTACGCTATCTCTTTGACAATATGCCAGCTTGCTTAATTTGCTGAACAATCACACAAAACAGACAAAGGAGTAGATCGCACACTGGACTACACACTCTCACTGTTCTGTGCTCTGCGTTAGTCTCAGAGAAGTGAGAAAGCTCAGCGCCGGTGATGTCATGAAACACACATGGATTGTCATGTGTCAGGATGTGATTGATTTAGCTTCGCCATGATCAACCGATGGTCAGGTGACAGACATACATTTGCTATTCTTGTGTCATCTGGTCTATTTATATTTTAGTTTTAGAAGAGGTTTTACGGTGCTCGCAACTGCATAAGGTCATATGAGCGCCAGAAAATTAGAGGTGTTACAAGAGCGTAACAAACATAAAAAAGAAGGAGGGGAGATAAGGACGATAGACATTTGATGGGAAAGAAGAAGCAAACCACACCAGAGCACCCGCCAACCACCCACGGGCCCTATATGCACTGTGTAGGCCCCTCCAAAGGGATGTGTGTGGTAAACGTAGGCAAACAGTAAACTCCTGTTGATGCCTCTCTCTGGCCTGCAACTGACCCAGTGCCTTCTCGTGTCTCCTCTGTTTTGCTATCTTGAAGTGGCTACATTTGTGTTACTTGTGGGCTGCTAGTGAAAACTTTGTCCAAATAACCTCGAAATTCTTTTTGGTTTAGAAATGCGGAACATTTCGGCTTGTCGATAGATTAATTCATACCAAGACAAAGACAAAGATGAAAACAAAGAGGGGGTTTCATTTTCCTTCGTTTAGCACTGTCTTCAGATTTTAGCACCGTCTTCACTGTGTTAATAAGTTTAAGCGGATTTCACTGTATGTGTTCACCATGTTTCAATGATTTAAATAAACAAAGTGACTATTTCTCCCAATGCTCGGGAAAATAAACCTGATCTCTATTTCTCAGAACGGTTTCTGTTCTCGAGATTTTTTGGTTATTTGTGAGACTTTGGCGTCATTTTTCATTCTGCCATTCTGCGAGGACTGGGAAGTATATAAGCATTTTTTGCATTGAATTCAATTTCTAGAGCTAGAGATTTTTATATATTCAGATCCTTTAATTGTGGTCGAGGGGAACGTTCCCGGACTAAACTTCGGTAGAAAATGCCTTTAAAAGGTACTGCGAGAAAACAGGACTACTCGACTTTGGCAGTAACCTATTTTGCATTTATTAGTAACCCCTAAAAAGCAAAGACTAAAAAAAAAAAAATCCCTCCACACTCCCACGCCCTCCCCCCTCCAGTTCACACCTTAAACACACACACACGCAAACACATACCCACACGTACACTTACGCACGAACACACACACACACGTGGGCCACTCCATTCGCAAATAACCAAAAAAATCTCGAGAACGGAAACGGTTCAGAGAAATACAGCTCATGTTTATTTTCCCGAGCGTTTGGAGAAATAGGAGCCGACCTTAAATAAATGCTGGGCAGGCCTATTTTTTGCAACTTTACAATGCTATGCTATGATACTGATATATTCAATGATACAATCTCATTCACAATGGCAATAGAAAGACACTCATAGTTTCTACTCCACAAGTCTACCCAATTACAAAAGCTTAACGGGGCAAATCATCTTGACATACTTCAAGGTTATTAAAAAGACACAAGAGTGTTAATAATAGATTACCTTTGGGGTACTGTTCTGTGACAAGGACAGGCATTTCCAACTCCTGTGCAGCAGTCAACAGCCGGTTAGCGACGTTGATAATTTGCGGAAAGTACTGGATTGTCGGCCGGAATTTCTCTTGCATATCGCATATGAAAAGAGCTGAATTTTTAAAGGCAATTTTGCCAATCTTTTTAGCAGCCATGGTGCTCAGAAAATATAAAGTTTCTAAAAGCCAACAGATTCTCAGAAGTCAAATCAAGATGTCACTAATCTTTGAAGGACCGACAATGTTTTGATACGACAGCAGCTGGTCAGAGGGCACAGGTTCAGAGGTCAGTAGGAACAACTACTGCGAAAAAAACAACCTGTTAGCTAGAACAGAGTTGCGTACCCTGTCGACAAGGACGCTTTGACAGTGACAGTGGGGTGGGACTGTAAAATGAAATAATATACAAAGTGTTAAAATTTGTGTCTCATTTCTTTAAAAATTACAAGTTAGATCAGAATGTGCAGAACAGTTTTTTTTTAAAAAGTGGCGTGTTACGTAAAAAGGAGGTTCTACGGCGCTTTTTCGGTAGTTCCCACCCGCCGCATTTGTTATTCCCTGGTTTTGGCCCCAAGATGAGGGGGGTATTTTACCATAACTTGACGTTTTGCAGTTGTTAGGTTTGATAACTTAGCTCACCGCCCATCAAACGTATAGATCTAGAAGTAGATCTAGGCTCAAATAAGGGGGGGGGGGGGAACTACAGAAAAAGCACCGGTTCTTCTTCATCGATGAGACGTTTATGCGTTACAAGCATGTGTCGACTAATATTAGACGGTAAAATTACAATGTCCATAATATAGATCTAGTTTGTATTCGTCTTCGTAGACGGGATGCTGGTTTCCAGAGCGAAGGCTTCTGCTGAACATTGCGCTGGGCTGGACTTTAGTGCAAAATTGGTCCAGGTAGATACAGTGTTCTTTCTAATTTTCTGTTAGAAGTCGGAGAAAGAAATTTCACAGTATTCATTTTGGAAGGCTAACATATTCTTTTGCATAGTTATTAACAGAGACGCAAGACTGAAATGTCAAACTGGAGAGGGACAGAGAAAAAGGAGACCAAAATTAAATAAAAGAGAGAGAGACCGAGACAGAGAGTGAAAAATAAAGAGAGAGAGAGAGAGAGAGAGAGAGAGAGAGAGAGAGAGAGAGAGAGAGAAAGAGAGAGAGAGAGAGAGAGAGAAAGTTTACCTGTACATCGGGATATATGAACGCCCATGTTTTTGGATTAGACATTCTTTTATTGTTCATGTATTTTCCAAGATTGTTATATATCGACGTTTGGCGTAGTCAAATGTCATGTAGGTAGCATATTATAGATGTACTTGAAAAGAAACAATTATTCTTGTAAACGTCGGTGTCATATAATGTAAAATCGATTTTTGATTGTCTCTTAAAGAGCTATTTTATTGGTTTATTAAATGAGACTTTTTTCTTCTGAGTTCTAAAGATCCTGACGCTTCATTGGCCTCTTCTGCTTGTAAATTTTCCTCAAGTTTTTTTTTTTTTTTAAACAACATAATATAATATCTAAAATTTAGGAGTGAGCCATCTTGCTCCCTACAATACAACATCCACAAAATTTTTAGGACAAGAACGTTCCTTCCTGACATATCCTTTTAAACAATAACCGTGTCTGTAGTATCATCATCATCATCATCATCATCATCATCATCATCATCATCATCATCATCATCATCATCATCATCATCATCATCATCATCATCATCATCATGAGCAGCAGTAGCGTAGCAACAGAATCAACAAAACCCACACGTTTTCTAGGACAAACAAAAAGGAGAAGGAGGCAGACCTATGCCAACAATAACTTTTACTTACAGAATCTGGTCAATATATTAGTGCTTTAGCGCCTATAAATGGTAGTTTGCACTGCATGCTTCCCCAGAACGTTGAAATTGTTCCAGTAAGTTATCATGTCTGCTGAAGTAATAGTATAGATTGTAAGGCGCACAGAGCTTGCTGTTGAGAGTGAATTTGTGTTACACAAATGCTATCTATCTATCTATCTATCTATCTATCTATCTATCTATCTATCTATCTATCTATCTATCTATCTATCTATCTATCTATCTATCTATCTATCTATCTATCTATCTATCTATTATATTATTATTATTATTATTATTATTATTATTATTATTATTATTATTATTATTATTATTATTATTGTTATTGTTATTGTTATTATTATTATTATTATTATTATTATTATTATTATTATTATTATTATTATTATTATTATTATTAATATTATAATATTGATCAGTCCGTTTGCGTCTCCTTATATTTTCTTGAGCAATATTAATATCTACTGCCGGCCTGCTAAGCCAGTCGCAGTTTCACCAGAGCCCCGTTGGCCAGCAACGTTTCGGGGTGACCCGGGTCGGCCTTCACGACTAGCGTAACGCCTCAGTGACATTAAGTAACACCGTACTTTACCCAGACCCAAGGGCGAAGGCTGACTTGTTTGACAGGGTAATCAAAGTGAGATGGGACCAGATAGGGCCTGGAGATATCACACTCACACAAGTCACAAGAATCTTACTGGCACTGGAGGCGGCAACTCTGAGTTGTGAATGAAAACAAATCCTGAATTCATGTTGTATGCATATTCAACCGCTAAAATAATCGGGAAAGTATTCAATTAAATATTTATTCTAACTAACCTTAAATTTAGCTTAAGATTTGAACACACGAACACCAAGGAAAGAAGCAGAGATGTCAGTACTACAATGGCATTAAACCAGACAGCCGAAACACTTTGGTAGAGCATGCCAATGATTAATTTTTTATTTCACATTTGGCTGTTTTTTGTCTAGCTTTTCATGGCCAGGAACCGCTGTCATAATCGAGGTCACGATCTGATTATAGGACGTTAAAAAGTCGAGGAAAAAAAACAACAAGCACTCACAGCAGTCAAGATATTATTAGGAGTTAGTTCCCCTCACATCTGTGAGGTAGACTCGACCAGTGTAATAGTCAGCTTACTTAATCAGCGAGTGTGGCTGCTTATAACTGTGGCTCGAAACAGGTGAACAGGGTATATGCGGCAATGAAGCAGTTTTGACTGCTATGCACATGTTCCCTTCAACTCTATTGGTAGACTCTTCCAGCCTCACTTTAAGCTTACCTAATCAAAGTTTGTGACTTGACTGCTTATGGAGTTACCCGATAGCAGCGAACAGGCTAGGCTATTTCTGTGGCAATGAAACGGTTTTGAAGGTTTGGCATAGTCTATTGTTCATTGGTGATTATGAACGTCTTTTTACATTTAATTTAGGAGGTTTACGTCTATGGGTGAATTTGACTGCGACATTGTTTCAAAATTAAAAAGGGAAGCAGTGATTATTTGATTATATATAGACGCTTCGCCTCTGCCCAGACCATGTTTCCATCTCCCACGGCGTCGACGAGGGGTTGGACTTTGAGAGACAAGCTCACGGGAAGTCCCTCCTACAGGCCACTCGCCTTGCTGCTGACAGACGCCTGTGTCTCCCCTCGACACCCCCCGGTACAAGCGGAAGAAAAAAAAGTAAAAGTTAAGTATTATTATATACCGGCTGGTCATGCCAAGGCTGCGATTGTGCCGGTAGTTTTCTAAGTGTTTTAAGCTTCTATCGATTTTACATGTTAAGATCATTCAGGAAAAAAATCTAAAAAAAGGGGGGGGGGGGGTGGCTGCTTTATTTACCCTGTCTGCTAGGGCATTATCCATGGAAAAGGAGGTACTCCTGGTGCTCTGGTGTGGTTTGCTTCTTCTTTCCTATTAAAAATCTATCGCCCTTATCTCCTCTTCTTCTTTTTTATGTTTGTTACTCTCTTGTAACACCTCTAATCTTCGACACTTATATGACCTTATTTTGTTGCAAGTGCCGCAAAGCTCTTACTAAAAATCTCCCCATACGGGATCCAAGCTTACGTCATCTATATTATGTAATGACGAAAAGCATATAAGCGTTACTCCACAGACTCCTGTTGTAGGACTTTAAATATAGGAGAGAAACACTCAAACAGAGAGGATTTTTGGTTTAGTAAGAGCTCTACGGCGCTCGCAACTACAAAAAGTCATTTTGGGGAGAAACAGGAGAAAGGAATATATGCCAGTTTGTCGTGGTTATGTTGTGAATTGTGAACATCTTTGCGTTCTCTTGCCATGTCTCAGGGGTAGTCAATAACTGCAGGTTCTTCTACATGCCGTGCAACTGATTCTTACGTAAGTGCCCGTTTTTTCCTACTTGTAGTAAGACCACTTGCCTTCAGACAGCCGCATTCTGATTTCAGAGGGACTCCATATTTCTTTACTGAGTATTTTCAGCTTGAGCAGGAATCAATTTTTGAATTTTGGTAGGGTTGCGGCGCGGCCCAAGTCTACTCCTATGGAATATAGAGCCACAAAGGGATCTGTAATATACACAACTTGCAAACGGGACTACTGAGATGTTTCGCCCTTATCCGAGAAGGCTAGGTGTTCCTATATTACATATCATCCTAAGATCAGGGGTGTGGCTGAAACACAGCTGTAAGAAAGAGCCCGGAGAAGCAGTTGGAAGAGTAAGAAGAAAGTGGGGGCGAGGGGCGGGGGAAGAGGGGTTGAGGTGACATGAAGAAGAGGTGACAGGATGCAGAGAAAGACAGATGGTTGAATAGGACTAGAAAATAGGACTGTAGGAAATTGGAAAACATTTTAGAGAAGAAAACTGTTTTCATCGCTGGCAGGTTTTGATCCTATAGGACCTTTTGGCTGAGAGGCGAACACCGTTTCTATTGACCACGAAAGCCCCTCTTATAGAAGATGACAATTTAAATTATGTATATCGAAAGAAAAACAAGACATTCAATACGACCCCCCCCCAGGCATATAAAGTACAGTCAAACCTGTGCAAGACGGCCACCCATTGTCAATGAGAAAAGTGGCCGTATAAGACAGGTGGCCGTCTTAGGCAGGACTGATCAAGATGAAGAAAACAAACCATTCCTATCTGAGGTCCCAATCGAAA